CTGGATAGGAAAGGTCTCTCACCGGGAATGACGCCCCTGAAACTGAATGACAGGAAGTCCTCGTTTAGACAGACGGACATCAGTACAGTTCTTCCATCACTTCACACACACACATTCAGGAAATAGGAAGTGAGAACACACTTGGTTGTGTGTGTGTGTTCACGATGATGGGTCATTGTTTGCACGAAATGCACTTTCACCCCCTACCCCCCTTTTGCTGGTTGGTTTCCTTTCAGAAAGACACAAAGGGAAAGGTGTACGTTGTATTTTTAGATTGAATCAGTAGTTGATTATTCCGAATATTAGCGGTTATTTGTTATTTTTCATTTCGCAGTGTGCAGCTCAGGCACTGTAATTTAATATATTTGACAAAGGAGGCAGGGAGCAACAGGCAGACACCCACAGGTAAACATGTCAGTTAAAAACCCAGGCTTGCCTTGGCAGAAGATCACTGACCACATCCTGTTTTATCACCATGGGAACATCCAAAAACCAACCAACCAAATGTATGAACCTCTCTCTCTCGTTCTCTCTGTGTCACACACGTGATACTAGGGCTCATGCACACATGCGAAATAACAAGAAGCACAAAGAGCAGTGTCGGAGTTTGAGGAAATCCCAGAGAGATTTTATTTTTGTTTGTTTTTGGAAATTGTTTTGCATCTTAAAACAAAACTGAAAAATGATCAAAGAGCTCTTTTCAGAAATTGTAACACTAGTGATCCACCCCAACATGTACTGTAACACACACACTTCCACACACACACAAGTAGCGGGAGGAAGTAGCAAAGAACACAAACCAGTACCCACAGACACATGGTTTACATATCTCACACTAATCAACTGAACGAAGCAAAAGTAATCCAAGTAAATACGAACAGAGCTAACAACTGTTGGCTTTCTGATTGTTTAAGATTGACAATAATGGAAGATTTTGGCAAGAAAATGACCTTTAATGCAGCAAATCATTTTTCATACCCCCTGTATAAATCTTCTGGGTGTGTCATTAAAGCATAAATAACCAAATAATGGGCTGATTTTCATTTCAAATGGAAATGCATGGGTGACCGCCAGCTTTTGTGCATCAATATAGAATGGAAATGTTTTATTTTTGTAATGCAAAGCACCGGGTAATAATTCAACATACACTGACAGTTTCCCCAAGTGTGTTATTTTGCTTTTTGAGGAGGACCAACGCAATGGGGGGGGGGGGGATGACGTGTTCCCCTTGAAAGTTACCCGTATGCCTTGATAAACATCCATATTCACAGATGACCGTTGCATGTCTGTTCTAAAAGCTCTTTTATTACTCTGTTATTCAAAGGTTGAGTTATTTGAACATGTGTTAAACATGTTTGAACCAGAAGAAGGATCAGCATACACTTTTGTTTTGATGCCAACAGTCTTTCTCTTCTCCACCCACCAACTACCCTTTTCCTTTCTTTTTATGATGTCCTCTTTCACAATTGAGTCTTGGAAAGATTAAAATCTATAATCTTTTAAGGACACTGGATGACTTGCATGTATTGTGATGTACTTTAAGTATGTTTTTCCACAAAAGTTAACCCGCTGCGTGAAATGCAAATGCGAACTTTGAATGTGATGCCATCAACAATGTCCAGATATATCTTTGAAGCACAGCAACATTTATCAGTAAAAGGGATCAGCTGACTTGCAAATATTTTTATTTACATTTTACACAGCATCCCATTCTTCAATTAGATTGTTTTTCCAAGTTCAAGGTTCTCATTTATTTAAGTTCACTGGGAATGGTGTATTGTATTTCTCATAAAAGTGAGCTTTAAAGCTGCATTAATCAATATTTTTATGACACCAAATTAACATTATTAATATAAAATTAATATTTGTAATGCACAGAGTGTCACAAATTCTATCAGCCAACTGTGCAGTTTATAAGAAGACCTTTTAATGTCTTTTATATGGCAGCCCTGGAAGTCAAATGCAGTGCAACTTTAGGAAACACCAGCAAATAGAAAAATCCTGCAGTATTTTTTTTTATTGTTTTTTGTTTGTGAGTTTATTTCTTGAGTTGCAGTGCATTTGACCTCTCAGGGCCACCATAGTTTGAGCTCATTGTAGCATTTTGAAGCTAAAGAACTAGATATTTCATTCTAAAGGGACTAAGAGCTAGATGGGCTTTTTTTGTAATCAAGTGTTTATTGTCTTTAGACAAACATAAACATGTAATCGGTATTATTAAAAACTACAATAAAGAACCAACTCATCCAGTAAAAAAACATAAAAGAAAAAACAGGTCCAGAATGAGGCAAGAGAGACGAGAAAGGGGGAGATGAAGATGACAAGACTTGGGCCCAAGTCATATCAGATCTTAAGTTTAACTGTGAATTCATGGAGTAAAAGAACATAGAGTTGTTAGCTATTATAACAGAAGCCGCTGCAAGTTGTAGACTTGTAATGCACCAGCAAGGAGAACACTTCCTGTCAGCATCATAACTTCCAGAGATTCATATGTGACATGATTTTACTCGTCCAACAGTTGACATGTGAATGTTCTGGTACAGATTCAACTATAGAAGAGATGCGCTCTTCCTTACTGCACTCTTTGTGCAGTAAAGAATTTATTGTCACTCTACAGATGTACAAAAAGATACAGAAGCAACCCCTGCAAAGGAATATAGGCCATTCCAGATTGACTGTTTCTCCTGATCTGATTTTTTTTACTGCAGATCACCTGTGTCTTTGGTGTCCCCGTTCCCTCGCCATCATCATGGAGAGCTCCATCACACTCTGGCAGTTCTTGCTGCAGCTGCTGCTCGACCAAAGCCACAAACATCTTATCTGCTGGACATCCAATGATGGCGAGTTCAAGCTGCTCAAGTCAGAGGAAGTGGCCAAGCTGTGGGGCCTGCGCAAGAACAAGACCAACATGAACTATGACAAGCTGAGCAGAGCACTGCGCTACTACTATGACAAGGTACACAACTTATATATCCAAGCTACACAACATTGAAGTGGTTTGTCTCCTCAGTTGTAATGAACTGCACGTCTCATCGTGATTCTCCTGCAGAACATCATCAAGAAGGTGATCGGTCAGAAGTTTGTCTACAAGTTTGTGTCGTTCCCTGAGATTCTGAAGATGGACCCTGCATTGGTGGAGTCGGGTCGCAGCAGTGAGGAAAGCGGGGGCACCGCATCAGAACCCGAGGCTGAAGATGAGGATGGGGGTGAGAGGAACCAGTACCTCCACTCCGGCCTGTATTCCTCCTTCAAGATCAGCTCCCTGCACCACTCCTTAGAGCAGCACCGGCCAATCAAGACAGAGCCTAGATCCGATCGTCCGGATGACGGCTCCTCTGTCATCCGATTCATGACCCACCGTGGCCACTCCTCGCTCCCCTCCACCCCACCCCCATCCTCAACCGAGAACTCCCATTCCTCCAGGCCGTCTCCTCAGCTGGCCCGCTCTTCCTCCTCCTCATCCTCCTCCCCTCCGCAAAGCCCCACCCATATGCTAGTGAGAGTGGGAGTCCAGAGCACAGATGCAGATGAATTGGAGCCCAGCGCACAACCTCTAAACCTGTCATCTGGTCAGAGAGACAGGGAGAGGCTACAGAGCAGGACAACACCAGAAAGGAGGGGACTGGCCAATAGTACGCCTCTAAAAGGAAGAAAACCGAAAGGCTTGGAAATCTCCGCCCCTTCACATCTCTTGACAGGAAGTGACCTTGTCTCACTTGCCCTCAACAGCCCAGCTCTGCCATCTGGGTCCCTGACCTCAGCCTTCTTCACAGCACAGGTACAACGTGACACATTACACACTTGTTATACACACATTCATGCTTCCAGAAATGCAGCAGGTAATAGGTGAGGAATGAGGAGATGAGGGTCAGACGAGCGAAAGAAGAGATTTTTGGATGAGGAAAGTCAGACAGGGAGGAGATGGAAAGAGGTGAGCGGAAAGAAAAGGAGGAAGGGAGGGAGGGAGGAGGTTCATAAGTGAAGCCATATGTTCATGCAGCTTCCGATTCACTGGCAACAACACACTGACCAAACCAGGACAGTCTGACTACATTCAGACATTCAGCAAACGCTCTTATCCAGACTGACTAATCATACACTGCTGTGCATACATCACTGATGGAAAATAAAAGTATAGGCTGACCTGTTCACTCATTATTTCAAAAGTTGAGCTGCGTTCATGTGCACACTTATTTAATATTAGTATGTATAACCCACTTTCACCCACGGGAACACATGGGAATTTTAATAAAAAGTCTGGAACTTTTTAAAGACCTTGTTCCCCCCTTTTTCACTTCCTGGATCACAACCAGAATAGAACTGTGAGAAACAAGTTTATGGTGTTTGCTTTTTTTTTTCTTTTTCAAATTTCGTAGGTTGTGGTTGGTAAAGAAGCAAAAATCTATTAAATCGTGCACCACAAACAATCTTAATCTAGTTCAGTGGACCGGACATCAATAAATGGTTTATAACAAGGTTCATAAGACAGCTTTGAGTGGTAAAACAAAAGACATTTGAGGTCCTGGAATTACCAGACAGATCAATGGCAGGCAAACAAGTAAAGGTCATCAGCTAAAAACCATAAGTATACAGCCGTCTGCAGTCTAGCATTGCTAAAAGTGTAACTGTACTGACAGTAGGAACACAAAAGCATTCCTTTACCTTTTACAGACTGTTGAAGAAAAGAAAACCAAACTGCTCTTATATATCTCAGAAAGCCAAGACAGAAAGTAGATGTCATGAATTTTGCATGAGTGGGGCTTCCTGGTCTGCATGGAGACAGTCTGCCAAGTCGGTTTGAGATCACTAGAGGGCACACTTGGCTTTGAGCTCTGGGTGAGACTGAGTGACACGACAGCCTCGCCGCTGATGTGCTGCCAGAATAAACACCATCATCTATTTCTTGGTGTATTTATTCCCTGACATTTCATTTGGGGTTTTGTCTATGTAGACTCCGTCTGGTCTGCTGCTCACTCCCAGCCCTCTGCTCTCCAATATCCAATTCTGGTCCAGCCTCAGTCCAGTGGGACCCCTGAGCCCTGCCCAACTGCAGAGCCACGCGCCCCTCTTCCAGGTAACAGTCATTTATTTTTATTTCCATGCATGTGCACGGGCTGTCTTCAGCAGCTGCAGATATTTGCCAAGCCTCTGTTAAATCTAAAAATATCTTAACTTCAGGAACGGACCACAGGCTCGAGCTATATTGTTAAAAGTTGATTTGATTTTAACTTGATTCAGTTTTGTTTAGCACCAGGTTACAAAACAACTCAAGGTATTGGAAAGCAAACATCAAAATATTAGACAGAGAACCCCGAATGATCCTCTATGAGCAACATTTGGCAGCAGTGGGGATAAAGAACCCACCTCCAAGAGGAAGTGGTTGCCAGCAGAACCAAGGAGGGAGAGCTTGTCTGCTGCATTCTTACACTTACATTGATTACATTGGTTTTGTCACTGAACTAGACTCTTTCTACATAGACTACGACGGATGTACTTCCCAGGGGGACTGCATTGGCTAGAAAAACAAGTATTTATCTCTGCAGAAGATATCAAGATAATGATTGTTACAGAATGATGTTCATTTTGTAAATTGTGGTCAAACAGACACAAAGCAGGTTATGACTGTATGGCCACAAAGTGTGAAATTAAATGACACTGCACAATTCCTCAGGTTGCCTCACTCATCATGTTGAGACCTGTTAAAATGCTCAGCTGGAGGCTTCAAGATGGGACTTCTAACCATGATGAACTCATCTTTTATATACAGTCTATGTCTTCACCTAAAACCAACATAGAAAATTTTTGGTAGTTTCTACTTGATGAGGACATGAAAAGATAAATGTCTTCATCTTTAAGTGTAGTGATGCGCCCATAAACTATCTCAGTTTACACAAACTGCTCTTTATAGTCATTTCATATGGCATTGAGACAAGCAGTTGCAGTTGTTTTCTCACATTAATGTGTGTGAGGTGTGTGTGTGTGATTCACTTTATGCCAAGGGTTTCAAAATAAGCTGCAGATGTTTCCGTTTTGGTGTGGACAAGAACTTCCTGTTGTCTAGGGGGAAAAGAGAGTGTTGGTTGGTCAGGAGTCAGCTCTCACACACACTACAACAAATAAACTTTTAAACCAAGCATCAAATACACAGTTTTAGTCCTCAGAACAGGATTTGGTCCCAGTGTCGTCCTCACAATGTCTCGAAACCTGAAGCACTTCCTCCAGCAGATTGTTTAGACATTGGCATGAAACAATTTTTACGCTGACTTATACATTAGTCTGTTATATACTTACATAGTAATGTTAGTATATAACAGACTAATGTATGAGTCAGCGTAAAGCCACAAATAAAAGCGACATGCTTTAAAGGTGATTTGATTTTTTTTGTGATTTGCTCGTAAAAGCATGCAGAAGAACAAAAAGAAATGACTGAAGGAAAAGTAACAAATGACTCTAAAACTATTGAGTTTATCTTTCTTCTTCACTTTTAGTGACTGTTAATAGAGTATGTGTTTTTATTTTAATTTATATCCATGGAAAACACTGAAGGGCCCGTTGGGTCAGGAGACTATTTTGTCATTCACACAAACAACACAACAAATACAAAAATCCAGTTTTTTCTTCTCCTTCTGCAGTTCCCCACACTGCTGAACGGACCCATCCCTGTGCCTTTGCCCGCCATGGACACCTCCTCTCCTCTGCTGCTGTCCTCCAGCTCCCACAAGTCTTGATGCCAGCCTAAGATAACAGGGAAATGGGCCGGACCACAATAACACTGAACCGGCGCCCATTAAACACAGATGAACCGCCGAGGATTTGGACTCGCTCTGTTACACTTTAAATCCAACACCTGTTGCTTTGTATTGATTATAGAAGAAACAGGAGCTTATCTGAAACTTTGCTCTCTGAGAAGAGCATTTGCATTGGCCCCTTTTTCATGTTTACTTGCTTTAACATGTGTTTGGCGTTTTCATTCCTTCAGGACAGAAATCTTTGAACTTTTTTCAAGCAAAGAATCTGAGTGAAGGCCAGACCTCATCACACTTCATGTCATTTTTTTTAAATCAGTCTCATTCCACTTTGTCTAAGCTTCAGTGATGCAGACCAGCTGAAATATAATACTGCTTTCCCCCCCTTGCATTAACTAAACTCAGTATCCACATTCCTAATTAGTGTACACCACAGTGTCAGAGGCTAGTCTTAATAGATTCACACCAGCAGCTTAAAGAAAGCACAGAAATATACTTTCCTATTGAGGGTTAGTGTTACGTGCCAGGATTGTTGGCACTCCCGCGTATGTGTGCAGAAAATGAAGCTAGAGCCAGACAGTTAAATGTTTAACTCTGCTTATTCACAAGGTAATAAAATCCAAGTACTAAGTAAAGCAGTACTTTACTGAAAAATGAAAGATTTATCTGTAAATAAACTGACCTGTAACCCAGAAAATCACTGACATAGAAGCTCATGATTCATCACAATTCACAAGTTATTTTAATGTGTAAAGTACGCAAAGTAAGTACTTACTTGGCTGAACTGTGTAAACAAGAACTGAAATTTACTAAAAAGTCAAGGACGTTTACAGTCCTATCATCTTAATTGTTAATGAATCCCAATAGATTAAAATCTGACCAGTGTTCTAGGAGGAGTGGTTCTTCTGAAAATTGGACAAGGCATCCATGAAATCTCAAACATAGTCTTGACCTTGAGCACAGTTTGGGTGACGACCCATTAAGTGAATATTGTGTGCAGGTTCGAGTCAGCTCTGACCAACACTCCAGGAGGAGTAGCGATCTTTGTGAATTGTGGACAGATTTGTATTATTGTAGGGTCTCTACCTTACAACATAAAGCACCTTCAGGCAAAATCTTATTAATACCAAGAGAAGAGTCACAGCCTAAACCTTAAAATCACAACTTAAAGCTTCAAAACACTTTTTGTGTGTGTGGATTAAAAACTTAGTGATTTAATCACTAGTAAGCTTTAGTAATGGATTTCGTAACCTTTGAAACAGTCAATGAACTGTTCTAGCTTAATGTTTACTGCACATATATGAAAGGATCAGTCTTTGAATTCATCAAAATTTGATCAAAAGGGGACCATAACTCGAGAATTTGACACTACAGGCTACATAGGCCAGTAAAGAAAACTTGCTACAACAGCGAGCAAGTCGTGAATGAGGATGATACAGCTTTTTTCCCCCCTTTCCTTTCCTGCTAAACCTTCCTTTTAATATACCAAATCTCCAAATGTTCACATTTTTTCGATGTTGCAGGTCTCAGGATTTTTATTTTTTTTTATTAAACACAATAAAAAAGTCTTTGAGCCGGACATGTGACCACATGACAAGGGACCTTCACTGACTCCTAGCAGAACTCCTGCTAGCCAGAGTGCTACAACGCTGTGGAAGTCATTATTTCCTGTATAATATCTTGTATTTTTTCAAATGCACTGTAATTTTTTTAACCTTCTACCAGCTGTGCCTTTCTCAATATGTAAGATTTATGTAAATGTGTTTAGCTTAAGTTTGACATTCAAAGTCAAAATTGCACAAAGAATTTGTTTTTTTGTTTTAATGTTTTTTTGTTTTAGAGAAATGAATAGAAGTGTATTCTCAGTGATTTGCTTGTTTTCTGCATTTCCTTTAAATAAATGTTAAATTTTTTTGAAATAAATTATTATAGTACTTTTTTTAAAAGTCACAATTAACTATCGGGTAGCGTGGTGGTGCGGTGATTAGCGCTGTAGCAACAAGAAGGTCCTGGGATGGATGAATGGATGGATGGAAAACAAAGAATGACTGCTACACAGAGCTTTTAAGAAACTGTTTAAATTTACTTTCCATGGTTATGAGAAATAAATAGTTCCAGTAAAAAGAGTCACACACCAACTGTTCACCGGCAGCTCAGTGTTTCAGAGAGGTCGAGTTCACAACACAGCAGGCCTTCCATGCATCAGGCTCACATACACACACACGTTCAGACGTGTTCACGGAAAAATACATCAGTCACACATTTTGAAAAAGTACAGTTTTACAATGATAAATATTTTAGCTGTTATCGAAATCTCCTTTTGTGCATGTTACTGCTGTTCGTGTACACAAATGTCCTATTAACAGGAACAGTTTGCAGTTCACGGAGAAATAATCCTGCATCTTTCAGTCTGATCGAAGGAAAATGGAAATCAATAACTTCTGAA